TTATTATTATTATTATTATTATTATTATTATTATTATTATTATTGCCTTTCCTGGCAAGTAACAGGCGCAAGGCAGGATACCCTCTGGATGGGACACCAGTCTGGTCACAGGGCACACGCAGACACAAACAGACATGCACACACACCAGGGCTTTATTCCCGGAAGCCAGTCAACTTACCTGTTTGCTTTTAGATTGTTGGAGGAAACAGGAGCACCCAGAGGAACCCACACAAACACAGGAAAAACATACAAAGTCCCCCGGTCCAGACGTGAAGCCAGGGGCAGCACTGCTAACCACTGTGCCACCTTCTCAATAACAATACTAATAATTGCAGTAATACAGTTCATACATAATTTAGTGAACACTGTAATAAAGCCAGTACGATCACTTACAGGTGTTTAGAGTGCAGAGAGCAAGTACAGTATAGTAGCAAGTATGGTAGAGAGTAACCACAGTAGAATATATATGGTGCAGTATATAGTTAAGAAATGTGGGACAGCAGGATGTGGTTTTAAATATGTAAATGTGTCAAGTGTTTCATCACATTTGCCCAAAGCTGACCGAAGATGATCAACTGGAGCAAAAATAATTTTTGCTGTTTGTGATCTGAAAATATGACTGGAGGGCAGAAGCAGCTCCAGGAGATAAGAGCTGTGATTGGGAAGGGACTTCACAGACTGTTCTAGGAAGTTTGAAATGGGCCGTCTGATCTCAGCAGCGTCATGTGAAGAAGGTCTTGTGCTGCAGAGCGATCAGGTAGCTCTGTTCTGAGCCAGCCAGGGCAGAGCTCCAGCCTTGATGGGTTGAGCTAACATCTGCAGCAGTGCTCAATAACAGAATATCAAAAACAGCTCCAGTAACTGGATTTATAGTCCCTGACAATAGAGAGGTCGAGGATAGCACTTCAGGTTTTGTTTTCTTAGAATTGAATTTCCATGTGAAGTAATTTTCTCAACATCTGAGACAATAAGCAGGACCTCTTCTTATCAGGATTTCTTTCTGGCTTGGATATAGCCATCCGCTGCTGTTGCAAACCCATTTATTGCTTGACGTTAGAAACTATTGGTCCTTGCCCCTCATCACCAGACCGAATGCCCTTTGCGTTTCTGGTTCTCTGCAGCCCACGCCAGTGTCCAGGTTCCTCCAGGGCTACGCGGGGGCGGTGACCAGCGCGGTCTCCATTGCGGTGAGTCAAGCCGGAAAACTTTTCCGTCCTACAGCTGCTGCTCCAGACTGCCCGGGGCTCTGCACAGTCCCTCCCCTGCAGGCCTGGGACGACACTGGGGGGAAAGAAACGCTACACCCTGGGCAGGAGAAGGTGGCCGGGGCATTGAAAATAAAAATTGCTTGGGGAAAGCCAAAGTTAGAACATGAGTGTGTAAGAAACCCAACAGTTAAGAGACGGCAGCAGTGAGCCCCACAGGAGGTGGCAGAGTGAGGTGCAGTCCGTGGGTGAGGTGTCC